GGCCAGGCTCTGGGGCTGGTTGTGCAGTTGGAGAGAAGATGCTGAGATGATGCACGGCAGGGGGCGGGGTGGGCTTTCTCAGCCCTCTGTGTTAAGGAAGAAAGGCGTCTCCTTTTGAAAGAAGAAAGCCTTTGGGAGAAATGATCTTTGCTCAGAAATGATCTTTTCACATCCTGTCCCATTCGCCCCCAATTCCAAACCTCCTTTTACATTCCCTCAGTAGCTGCTGGTTTGATACTACTCTCACTGCGGTCCTGTGGACAGAGCACTTGGCCATTACCTTAGTTATTACTCTCTCTCTCTCTCCTCTCTTCTCTCCCTTCCTTCCTCCCTCTCTCTCCCTCCCTCCCTCTCTCTCTCTCTCTCTCTCTCTCTCTCTCTCTCTCTCTCTCTCTCAGAGAGCTGGGGGATGATATGGTGTTGAGTATCAAACCCAGGACTCCTGCATGCAAAGCATCCACTCAGCCCAGTGAACTATCTCTTTATCTCTTAGGTCCCCTATTTTTTTTCTTTCTCTTTTATTGCCTTTTCTCGTTTTGCATGTGTGTGTGTGTTTTGTTGGAGATTTAAAATACAAAGCAGATACTCTACTGCCAAGCCACATCTGGAAGTCTTAAGTGTCCCAATATCCCCTCCTTACCAAACAAATCATAGGCCAGACCATTGCTTCGGCCTTAAAATGTTGCTGAGATACCCTGCGAGGTCTCTCTGCTCTATTTTGGTTTGTTTGTTTTCCTTGGGGGCCTCACTCAGCAGTGCTAAGCTTACTCCTGGATCTCCGCTCAAGGTTCACTCCTGGCATGCTCAGGGAACCACATAAGATGCTGGGAATCGAACCCGGGTTGGCCAGAGGCCGGGCAAGCACACTACTCCAGCAGCATTGGGGTCTCTGCAAGGTCTCTGCCTTTATTCAGGCCACATATCTTTATCTTTTAGAGGTGTCCAACTGTACCACCTACCTGCCATGTTCTAGCACCTTTACAAAGCTCCTCACAGAACAACACTCAGGTTTGATCAGCATTCCTTGGCAGGGGCACATGGGTGCTTGTGGGTACCTAGGATGTTCCAAGGAGCCATAGATGGAAATCACTGAAATGATTGGTGAGAAAAGAGGGCCGGCGAGTGGGACAGGAGCTACAGGAAGGAAACAATCTCAGGAGGGGCCCTGTCAGAAAACGCTGAGAAAGCCCAGTGCAGACGTGGCTGTGAGGTTCACTGTCATCTGGCACCAGGTGGCTGACTGCGCTTCTTCCTTTTCCCCCGCTGCTAGGAAGCAGGATTCATCTCTCCCCTCCTTCCTCCCACAGCCCCTCAGTGGTGTTCTCACCGGTGCTGCTGTTTGACAGGGTTCTTATGGATTGTCTTCCTGTTGGACAGCAAGACACAGGAGGGCTTGTCCTTGTTGACTCACCCCAGGACTCAGCACGGACACTCCTGTATGTGGTGTGTGATATCGAGGGAATGTCAGAATCCCAACTTGGGCACCCCCTTCACGTCTGAGCCTCAGCTCAGCTCTGAGCAGGCTTCGGAGTCCTTCTTTGCATTCCTGGCTACCTCTGAGAGATGCTCAGTGCCTTCCTTCTCATTTATCTCCAGGTCTTTTCTTGAGTGTCTACACAGACATTTGAAAAAATCCAGCTCCCCCAAACTGTCTTTTCCCCAGCTCCTTAGCGCAAACTAGCACATCCCTGGAGGGGCTTTAGAATTCAGGCCCATGAAGGGCAACTGCACTGTCCATGTCATGTGACGTCTTATGTGGCAGAGGCGAGGCAAACCCAGGATCTCCAAAACTCAGGCTTCTCCTTCACCCTCTGGTCCTTGGCAACTGTGGCCTCTGGCTTCCTTTCAAGATTGGCCAGGACCCATGCAAATGGCCCTTAGGAACCATCTCTGTGCTCTTGAATCCAATACTGACTGCTGGAGAGAGTCTATATTGGTATCTCATTTTGATTACTTGAGTCATAGTGTGTCATTTCCCCCACACCTCCAGCTTCTGAACTTCTAGCTCTGAGACACATCTCTGGGGTCTGTGAAGACTGTGCATTTCTAGCAATGCGTCATCTTGTGACTGGATGGCGGACACAATCATCCCACACATAGAAACCATGGCAGCAGGATGCCAAAGGAAGCCCGCTGCAGGTTTAGAACTTCCTGGGGGAAGAGTTCAGTGGGTGAATGTGCTGGCATTTCTATGAAGAGTTTCTGACGTTCTTGAAACCTTCATGAATGAGCCTTTTCAATCCCAGCTGGAAGGAAGTGGGACAGAGCCATTGAAAGTGACAGTAAGGAAATTCAGTCGCCACTAAGGAGCTATACATGAGTGCCTTGGGGCGGAAAGAAGGTCTGTGCAGTCATCGCAGGCCAGTTCCACACAAGGCATTGAGCTGAATTGGGACTTGTAGATTTTGGTGGTGTGCTGGGGTAGTGGGTCACACCTGGCTGTTTTCAGGGCTTTTTTCTGGCTCTGTGCCCAGGGATTACTGATTACTCCTGGAAGGGCTTAGAAAGCCACATATGCTATGCCGGCAATCAAACCAGGTGGCTAAGTGTACTGCAAGCACCTTACCCCCTGTGCTTTTTCTCCAGCCCCAGGAGCATGGTTTTCTTTATAATTCTGCAGAGCAAAGCGTCTAAATTAAATGGCATTCTAGTCCGGTATTGGTGCCATATTTTAGAGTTTAGTCATCAGGAAAGATGATAGCCAGAGGAAGCCCTGCACTATTTTCTGATGAAAAGGGGAGAACTGGAAGTTGCCTTTTCTGCAAGCTTTGGTTGTAGACTGATAGGTGTTCATGCTGAAGAACACTATGGAGAAGCTATTCCAAGTACTATATTCTAGGGGAAGGACTGAAACCTTGGTACATAGAGATCATCAGTCTATCCTGTGAGAACCATTCTGTGCTAGAGAGAGTGAGGAATTAACGAAGCAGGAATGTGGATGCTGAATCACAGCTGTTGTTTTACCAGGGCTCAGTAGGTACCCGGGCCGAGGAAAACAGACACTCTACCACTTGAATTCCTATGTTTCTGGTGGTGTAGGGGTGGGGGAGAACATGTCTCCATGGCTTTGCGTCAACACTAAAATATTCCTTCTTTGGTTTTGGGCTTTTTAAAAGAAAAATAACTTAAAATAGCTTCATTGTCCAGTTAAATTATCTGGACCATTAAGTAGCTTGTCTTCTCAGAGACACATACATATCTCCATTAAAAAAAAAACTGAGATAAAATACTTTTGCAAGAGGCATTTGACTATCCAAGTGTAACAACCATGGGAAAGTGCTGTCAAAAAAAATGTCAAGAGGGGGACAGTGCAAAGGGCTGCTTGTAAAAGCCCCCCATCCCTAGTCCCATGCCCGGGGACAGCCTGTGTAGCCCTGGTGGCCTTGCTGCCAGGCTACAGCTGCAAGCACACTGAGGCCCAGCAGAGACTTTTTAGGCCCTGCCCAGCCAGCAGAGTATCACCAGGAATGGCTCCTGGGTCCCTGAGCACTGCCTGAGAGCATCCCCACTCCAAGTATATGGTGTTTTGTAAAAATAAATGGGTTTTGGATGATTCTATTTAGCTCATAATCACTCTTGCTTTTTCATTCAGTGCTTTTCGCATGTGCCAGGTTCCCAGGTACAGTCCCTAGAAAGTGGCCTTAGGCGAGATTCCAACCTCCGGGCCTTGGCAACTGTCAAGACTGTTCTGGTCCATGCAACTCTTCCTTTAATAGTACAAGTCAAAACCAATTAGCTGAAGTCCCTTGTTAGGTTTCATCATAGTGTTGTGGGATTTCCACATGGCTGAACTGGGAAAAGCTAAAGACTTACTGCAAAGTCTTAGAAGCAGGATTGATTTCACCAGGGGACCCAGACTGAGCTCAGGCTCCTTTAGGCTGGGCCCTGAACAAAGACAAAGCAGAGAACTGAGACTCTTTAAGCCCCGTATGCAGGATGGGATGTTCCCTCTGAAGTACATACACAGTTAAACGCAGGAGGTTGATGGAAATTATTCTGGGAGGAGCTGCAGATTAGGAACTATGTGGGAGGTGGAGGGAAGGGGTAGAAGCTCTGATGGAAATGGGGGGATGTCCCCCTGTAGAGGGTCCCAATAAGAGGCCCCCGAGGGAATGTTTGAGCCTTGCCACAACAGCACTTTGAAAATATATTTTACTTTTGTTTTTGTGTCACACCCGACAAAGCGCAGGGCTTACTCCTGGCTCAGTGCTCAGGGATCACTCCTGGTGGTGCTGGGGAACTACATGGGTTTCAGAGACTGAAAGGGGTAGGCCACTTGTCAGGACTATTTCTCCTGCCCTGAAAAAGCAAACAATTCTCTTTTTCGCTTTTGTCTATAGCAGTTTGTAGCTCTTTTCTCTGCATTGTCATAATTTCAGTCAGATATCTGAGCAATTCCTTGATTCCCATGTCACCCACTGCGATTTCTGGCTCCACGGAAGCAGGTACTTCATCTCTTCTGTTCCGTTTTCCAGCGCCTTGCGTTGGCTGCCTTGGCCAAGTCCGAAGCAACAAGCCTTGGTGGAATGAATGGCGAAGGGATGAATGGAAAACCACCGGTGACGACAGTCCGCGTGACACGGCATCACATGCACGCTTCGAGGTGTGCATCGTACTATGGGAGTTCTTGGGAAGGCGGAGCGCCGAAAGCAGGCTGGCCGGGGCGATTCGGGGGAACCCATCCCCCGACTCTGCTTCCGCGCAGTCCCCTGTCCCCCCCCACGGGCCCGACTGCCTCCTCTATCACCCACGAGAACCGGGCCAGAGACAGCTCTGCAAGAGGCCGCTTTAAAGGCTCAGAGGCCCGTGGGGACAGCGCCCGTAAGGTCTCCTCGGTGCCCAGCCGGCGGGCACAGCCACGGCCTCAGCCTCCACGTCGCCCGGCCCCGCGCCCCAAGCAGCCCACGTGACCCGCGCGCGCCCGCTGAGTGCGCCTGCGCCGCGCGCCGACAGCTTCCGGCCGCGGCCCCGCCCCGGAGTGGCCGGACTGATCGGGCGGCCGCGGGCGGAGCGGGGCGCGCGCGGGGAGGGGCGGTGGGCGTCCGAGCCGGGGGCTGGGGGCGGCCCCGGAGCCATGGCCTGCTCCATTGTCCAGTTCTGCTCCTTCCAGGACCTCCAGGCCGCCCGGGACTTCCTCTTCCCTCACCTGCGGGAGGAGACCCCCAGCGGCGCCCTGCGGAGGGACCCCAGTAAGTGCCCCCCACTCGCGTCCGGCCCCGCTCCCGGCCCCCCACCCCTCCTGCACCCCGAGGCCCCGCTCCCCCTTCGCGATCGTTACCCGCAGCCCGCGCCCCCCTCCACCCTCCAGGGCCCCGCACCCGGAACAGCGCGGCGCCGCACCCGGGAGAAGTGCCGGGCCCTGCCCGACGGCCTCGCACCGGACCGGACCTGCACGGTCCGCGCCCGTCTGGCGTCACCGGCACCGCGGACTGCCCGGCTACCCCGGGGAGGGAAGCGTGTGCGCTGCCGGCCAGACTGGACGCCCCCCCCATTCCCGGGGCGCCGGGTGCCGGGGCGGCCGCCGGTGCTGTTGCGTCAGTCTCCTCCGCTCTTGTCCAGCTGCCCGGGGACCCGCAAGGCAGGGCAGCAGTTTAGGGGCTCACCTGCACGTGGCAGCTGACCCCAGTACTCTCCCCGGCACTGCCTAGGTCTGTTCCCCCACCCCCACCCCAACCACAGGGCAGGGCGTGGTTCCTGAGTCCAGAGACAGCTGGACTGCGCGCCCGTCCCCCTAAATCAAAACCCGGCACCCGGAGCAGCTGCCAAGTCAAACCTGTTCGGGACGATTTCATCTGGACCAGCCGCCGGCGCGGCCAGCTGCCACTTGTGTCTGCCCTCTTATGTGCTCTGGGGGTACCCTCTTGCGTCTGCACTCTCAGTGCTCTGGGGGTAGCCTCTTGTGTCTGCTCTCTTATGTGCTCTGGGGGTACCGGATAAACCCATTCCTGCACCCCCGCGATTGTGGTAGGCGTCGGTGTTGTCGTGGGTGCAAAGGGGCCATGGTCTCTTGCAAGTGATACACCAGCCTAAGTTCCCCGCACCCCCTTGAAGTGGTCCACGAATGAAGAGCATGGCCGAGGGAGGAAGGGCCCAGTGCAGGATATTGAGAGAAGGGGAGAAAGTGTGTGCTTGAGGGTGGGAGAGAAAACAAGGGGGCAGCTGACACTAGGCGTTGGGACCAGGAACTGGATGGCGAGAAGCTGCAAAAGTCATGGGATCCTCAGGAAGGAAGACAGGCAGAGGCTCCCGTGGCATCCAGGAATGTTAGTGTGTGTGTTGGGAGAGGGTGGCAGGGAGAGACTAGTCATCTGTGCGGGGACTCGTGACCCCAGGCTGGGCACCAAAGCAGATCTGGAGGGAGGGCTAAGGAGCAGCTTAAGGAGGAGGAGGGGCAGGACCCAGAAGTTCTGGTGACGGTGTTTGTGGCTGGTGTTAGTGGGTGTTTGTGGGTGGGTGGGTGAGGGGGCTGATAAAGCCTTTGGTTTGGGTTGTGCCTGGGTATAATGAGAGTCCGGGCTAAGATTCAAGTTGTAAATACGTTTTAAATTTTATTTATTCAGGTTCTAAGTTTAAGTTTTAAATAAGTGTGGCATGCGCAATTAAGGGGGTTCGGTCCCCCACCAGATGAAGGTGTCTGAAGTGTAGGGGGTCCATGGTCAGGACCCCTAGCAGAGAGCAATGCCTGTCCCCCAATGAGTTGCAGATTGCGGCTGTTGCTGCAGGGAGTAGGGTGCTGGGGACAGCAAGCGCAGGAAAGAGAGAGGAGGGTGAGGGACCCAGGGCTTTGCTGGAAGAGCAGTCAGTGTCCCGAAGCAGACTTCATGGTGCTGGAGAGGAAGGGACTGGGCCTGGCTAACAGCCCCCGTGGATGGTGACAGAGAGCATGCTGACTGGGGACTCTGTGGGAAAGCTGCTGCCTGGAAGGCCAGTGGGCACTGTCCCCCGCCACTCCTCCCTCCCTCCCCCCCATCCCCCACCCCAGACCTGTTGTTACCTGGGTGGTGACTCCAGTGTTTCTCTGACACCTGCCAGCTTCCACCTTTGCTTTCTGGTCATCAGGTCCCCAGCACAGCTGCGGTTGGGGTGAGTTTTCATGACCCTGTGGAGCTCTCTGTGCTGGTATTCTTAGCTGCAGATAAGAGTTCTTCCCAGCTCTTCAAGCCGGGGAGGCCGCCGTCACCCCTCAACCTCTCCCCTGCTTTCCTTTGCTTCAGATATTCTGTAGTCTGTTGTTTGGGTATTTGGCCTAGCAAGGTGCTGGGGCTCAGGGGTGGGGGGCGGGGGAGTGGTCCTCCTGTACTAGGCTATGCTCTTGCATCCCCCAGGGCTCCAGGGTCCGGTGCAGACACTGTCTCCTGTGGAATCAGCCGGACTCTCGGGCCAGAGGCTGTGCTCTGGCCCAGGGTTCTGGGGGCTCTGTGCAGCTCTGGGCTTGCTCGCTGCCTCGCTGCCACCTCCCAGAGAAAAAAGCCTTCTCTCACCAAGTGTCCACAGCACTCGGGTGTATCATCCCAGTGGCCCGTTCATTACTCAGGCTTACTCCAGTTCAGTTGACTTTTGCTGTCCCTGTGGGGTCAGCTTCGGGTCCAAGCCCTTGGAGCTGGCAGGTGCTACCAAGGCATTGGATTTTGCCTAATTGTTTAAAAAAAAAGCGGGGGGGAGGGTGATTCCCAAGGATGCTGAGGGGGCTCCAGACCACTCCTCAATTGGCTGGTGGCTCAGCACAGTTTGTGCCCTGCGGTGCTGGGAACCCTCAGACCCACCCCCGCCCCAAGTGGTGTTCTGGGGTCTCAGGGCCCCAGTGCAGTGTTCAGGATCGGTGGCGCTGGCGTGCAGACCCTGTTTGGATGCATGCCCAGCATGCGCGCTGACCACTGTACTTTATCTCTGCCCTGATCTGAAGTTAAATATCCATTTAATGACTGGTGGCTGCCATGCTGGATGCACCTGTGTGGCTGCTGTCATTCAGTACATGCCCAGGGTTACCTGTGAAGAGGTAGGTTTAGTATGAACTCTGTCCGCACTGTGGGCTGTATATCACGCCCAGACATGTGCATTAGGCATATCTGATTCATTCCCTTTTTATCTCTTCAGTGTTTGTTGATACTGTTGTGGCTGCAGAATATTTAAGTAGAAAATAAATGGAGGAGCTGGGGCGTGGGCTAGAGGGCAGGCTTTGATGCTGCCCTCAGATTTGATCCCTAGCAAGGTCCCAAGTACCACTCGAGTGGCCATCTTGAGTATGGAGCTCAGAACCGCCCCTGGTTTCTACTGGGTGAGGCTCAAACACAGTAAAACAAAAGGAAAATCTGTTACCTAATGAGCTCCTTTGTAAAACTTAGAGTTTACTTAAATTCTTGAAAAGATTTGTAATGGGTTTCGCCATCTTTTACTAAACAATAGTTTTTTATTTTTCATTTTTACTTTTTGCTTTTTGGGTCACAGGGGTTACTCCTGGCTCATGCACTCAGGAATTACTCCTGGTGGTACTCAAGGGACCATATGGGATGCTGGAAATCAAACTCGGGTCGGCCGTGTGCAAGGCAAATGCCCTACCTGCTGTGCTATTGCTCCAGGCCCTAAACAATAGTTTTATAAAGAGCTCTTCATTAAAATAGGTACCTAATTTTTTTTTTACTTTTTTTTAAATTGAATCACTGTGAGAACGGTTACAAAGCTTTAGTGTTTAAGTCTTGATCATACAATCATCAAACACCCATCCCTTCACCAGTGCACATTTTCCACCACAAAAAACCCCAGTATACCCCACCATCCCACCCTACCCCTACCCGTGTGACAGATAATTTCCACATTATTCTCTCTCTACTTTGATTACATTCAATATTTCTACACCAGTCCCACCATTATTATTTGGAATTTCCCCCCAACACTCAGACCTGCCTAAAAGGCAACATTAGACAATTTGTTTTCTATTGCTGATTATGAAGAGCATATTATGTCGCATGGCCGCAAGAGCAGCCACGCAATCTTGGAATTCTAAAATTTTAATCATGAGGTCTGGAGAGATTTCTGCCAAGAGCCGCTTGGTTTCTAGATTCTGAGATTCGTTTGTGTATCTCTGGGATCTTGACCAGTAAGGAGCTTAATAAGTAGCCAGAGGGGCTGTTCGTGGGTGGCATTTCGGCGTCTTGTCAGGGCGGAGGAGGAGACGGACCAGCTCCACCCCTGTCCTGTGAGGCCCTACGTGTCTTGTCACAGCTGGCCCATACCTGGATTGTCCAATGAGCTCTGGAGAATGGCGGCTGCCGAGCTTCCCGGGGAATAGGTGGAGGGATGACACCTTTTCCTACCTGGGGTGGCCCGGCCCCAGAGAAATAGTATAGGAGATACCAAGGTTTGAATCCGCAGCATCACATACTGTACCCCCAAGGACCACTGAGGTCACTCCTGAGTGCAGAGCCAGGGGTAGCTTCTCAGCTGTCCTGGGTGTGGCCTACCCCGCTTCTATCCCAGATGTACAGTCAAAATGAAGTTGCCAAACAGATAAGTAGGACTTACCTTAAATTGTGGCTAATGATTGACACTTATTAATGTAATTAATGATTACTGTATTGAGAAGCAGAAATCATGGAATCATTTATTTTTTAGTTTACAGTTTTACTTTCTTATCCTTACGTAAGGAGATATAGAAACGGGAAAAAAATCTCAATTATTTCTCCTGGGTCGTATGTTTTAGATAAGGATCATTTTGAAGTCTGAATCAATTGGTTTAATAAGTAATTTTATTTTAATAGGTGCAGCAGCCGTAGCCCTCGTGCTGCCCGGGCTCCAGAACTCAACAGTTCTGCCTTCTTTCTTTGAATTGACAGAGTCACTGTGATTTCATATGTTCACTTATAAAATGAGATGGTTTTTGTTTGAAAATAGATCTTGAGGCTTTCTTATAGTATAGAAATTAGGTCACATAACACGCTTCCATACCCAGCACCACATGCTCAGTCCCTGGAGACCCCCGAATACCCTTTAATTCCTGGCACCACAGGACCAACAGTTCTGCATCCTGGGTAATCCCTGGCGCCATGGGCCCGACCAGTACTGTGTCCTCACATCCTAGCATTGACCCACCAGCCAAGAATCACTGATGGACGCCCTGGGGACTACTGCTTGGGATACACCCCTCCCCCCTAAAATGATCCTGACCTCGACTTTTCCCATTGTTTACTTTATT